TGCACCGTGTTCCAGAATCGCCAGTCTCGACACTAGGGAGCAGTCAGGAACCTCGCCGTGCGCCACGTTGTCAGGCGATCAGTCGCTGCGCTAGTGTGGACACGTGGAAACTTGAGCACGCAACCGCGCTCGAGAGAGAGAGAGAGAGAGAGAGAGAGAGAGAGAGAGAGAGAGAGAGAGAGAGAGAGAGAGGATTGATTTGGTGTTGAGAGGGGTTTGAGCGGCCGGCATCTGTATGGGATACAGAGGGAAGCGATCGGCTGGCGCATGGTGTCGGTGCATTTGGTCCCTGCGCTGCATGTTCAGTAGTTGTTAGTAGTTGTGTGGTGCTGACCCGCGTCACGGGCGGCAGTTCCCTCGACGAGCCTAGACGAATTTCCGTTTCCTTCTTTTGTTTTTTTTGGGGTTCGGTTGAGGCGCTATTTCATGCGCGACAGAACGTCTGTCGTCGCAGTCTGTCCTCGCAAGAAGACAGTCAGACCAATTCATTTTTTTGGACTTGTCTTTTTAGCGACCGAGTACAGAGTCTTGTCTCTTCTTAGGAGAGAAGAAGAGTGGAGCTCAGTCGAGCTGACTCGTGTCCACACGATCACGGTGCAAGGTGCAAATCCCTGCCACGTTTTGTCACTCCTTCGCCACGTTTTTGTCTTTCAGGGATCTTCACGTCCGTCCGTCGGATTGTCAAATGTCGTCATTATCATTGTTCGACGGTCATTTCAGAATTTTCAGAGTTAGGGCCTCGCCACACCACTCTCGAAATGTGAAAAAGACAAAACTGTGGCGGGTGCATCTGGCCGTGTTCTAGCGGAACGTTCACTCTCATTTTGCACATTTCGAGAGTGGTGTGGCGATGCCCTTAATCAAATGCGAGCTTTTGTAGTCGAATGTGGTTTTGGAAATCAACTGGGATTGTTGTACACTGCCGACCGATTTCCCGGAAATGTCTTTTGAGCGGGGCCAGCTGGAGATCGGTTGGCCGCTGAGTGAAATGCGGGGGGGGGGGAGGGAGGAATCGGCGGTGTTGGTACACAGTCTGGGCTCGTCCATGAAGGACTGCTGCTTTCCCGTAGATTGCGGGTTGTCCACAAATGGGCTGGGGGAGTGAGCGGTGAGTTTTACGAAATCAGTCAGTCTGAGAGTCAGTGATCGGAAACTGTCAGTCGTTTTGTTTCCCTACAAATCGGCTGCAGAAGCGCTGGGGCTGAAGAGAGCAACTTCTTCCCCTCCTCTGTGTCCTCCCTCCCCCTCTTCCCCCACGGCGTCCTCACTTCAGGAGTGGAAGGATTTGGCATGAGAGGAGAGTTCGATGAACGAGAAACAGGTCCAATAGTGACCTGTTTCTTCTCTCGTGGTGGTTTCTCAGTTGTCTTTTTTTTTTTTTTTTTGTTTGCCCTCCTCTCCCTCGTCTTTCTGTGCGTCCTCTCTTCTCCATCTTCGTTGAAGATTGGCAGGATTTTGCGGACAAGCTTCAAACGAACGAGAAACGCCTCCTGTGTAGCGACTGTTCTTTTCGATTTTTTCCCTTGTCTGGTAGCGGGGGTTTCTCAGCTGCTTTTCTTTCTTTTTTTTTCCGACCGAATGGCTATCTGATAGTTCTCATTCTGATTCACCCCCCCTGTCAAATGTGATGTGGCTGGAGCGAGCTGCTCATCGTCGTAGCCAACCGACGAGCCTTTGAGGGCATACTTCGTAGCCAACCGACGGAGCCTCTGTGGGCATACTAACGCTTGCACTTTCGTAAGCGTATCTGACCCCAATTATGGGCAGAATGGGATGAATCTGTTCCCAAATGCGTCCAGAAAATAGTAGAAAAGTCCTAGTGTGAGTTTGCTCTGAGACATTGTTCCCCGCCGGTTTATTTGTCTTCTCTCTGCCTGCGTTGTTGCAAGGTCTTTTTCCCCCTTGTTGGTTGGGAGGATCTCTGACGCGCACAGCTGGAGGAGTAGGCCGAGGAAGTCCGGAAGTCGCTGGAGGAGGAAAGTTTTGGGAAAAAAAAGGTGTGAGGTTTCGGACATTATTTTTTTTACGTACGTACGTACGTAGTCAGATTCGTCGGCTCCAGCGTGGCGGGCGGGGGGGAATGTGTGTGATCCCTCGAAAATCCCGAGAGGATTGGGTCGTTTGGCTTTGCTAGCTCGCGGCGTCAGCAGTGGGCTCCCTTCTCGATCTCCGCAATAGACCTTATTCGCTGCCATGCACTTAACCGGAATGAATGCCGCCTTCAGCGAACACAATGCCGTGCTGTACGCCTTGCGCGACTCAGCGATCTGTCAATACATACGCTACCATAGGGTTGTATTCAGCAGGATTTGAACTGCTGAACTGTTTATCAAGAGGCATAGTACGTCTCTACCAGTCACTCATGTGGCTGGGGTGATACACTTACTGAATATATGGTACGCCTCTCTCGACGCGTCGACGTTGCGATCGATAGACTAGTTTCGTATTCCGCGGCAGGGTTTGAACTGATGATCTATAATTAAGACCCACCCTTGTGGCTGGTGTGATCAAAAGAAAGAAAATTTTCGCTGGCACGAATTCCCCTTTGACCGAATATCAAGTGGAGGGGGGAAATTTCGACGTGCATCCCCACCCATCGCTTGCCCGCTAGCTCGCGATATCGGCTAACTTTAGAAAGACAGGGGGAAGGGCGGGGAAGCCCCATGTACCGCTAGTGTGGTGGGGAGGAAAGTGGGGGAGATCTACCTCTCTCTCTCTCTCTCTCGGTCTGTCACTCTCTCCTTCTCTCTTCCCCTTTTCGATCGACACAGAGGAGCGGAGTGTTGTTGGAGAGTCGGTATGTGGATGGAGTTTCGATAGCGTGGGCGACAGCATCGTCGAGTGCAGGGAGGGGTCAGAGAGACGGTCCCTCAAGTGTGCCCACTCCACTCCATGCCACTCCATGCCACCCCACGCCATTCTCGCCTCTTCCCGCCTGCGATTTTAGCCCTCTGGAGCAGTAGTCACAGTACGAGACCGAAGCTTCTGGCCAGATGATTGCCGTTTCCTGCTTTTCTGATGGATGGTTGGGCGGACCCTAGTTTTTTTTGCCGGAAATGAGCTCTCTCTTTCCCGACCGAAAGGACGTATCTAGCTGATCATATAGTATATATACATACGCACGTACCAGATTACTGTATGGCGTAAGTATGCCTTCGCTGTGGATATAGTAGCTCTGTGACAGCATATATGTATATAGATCTATATACATATGTATTACAGTATGTATATACATATGTATATGTTTGTACAGCAGCAGGAAAGGACGGACTCAATTGATGAGGGCTTGTGCCATCTTTTGTTGGAGCCATGAAATGCCCGCAGCGGAGCGGTGAGCAACACACACAACACCAGCTACGGGCGGCGACAGCACCGTCGGTAGCAGCGTCGGGAATAGCGTCGGCAATCCCCGACGCGCTTTGACGTGCGTACGTCATTGAACTGAAGACAAAGACGGGGCCTAGTGTTTGAACCGTCGTCCGTCACTCAGGAAATTATGTGATTTGTGGGTTACTACAGGATTAGCAGTGTCCGCGCAAGCAACGAAGAACGCATCGATCGAAAATGTGAAAAAGCCATGCATGTCATGGGGCGGAATTCAGAGGAACTGAACTCGGCGTTTTCACACTAGAAAGTGGAGCAGGAGTCCCTACCCTTCCGGCTTGTTTCACTACGCGCTCAAGCCTGCTGTTACCGTAGTAGTGTCGGTAGGTCATGTGCCGCCAGTGCCTTTGACGCTGTTGATAGTCACTTTGGAAATCAACGTACGTACGTACGTGTGGTAGCATGGTCGGTTAAGATTTGTAGCAACACAGCCGAGTACTTTGCAATGGGAGGACAGAAATCAACCCGTAGTTAGTAGCACAGTCAAAGCATCGAATGTGTATCCTACTCTGGGGCTGAAACGCCAATACTTAGGGGATTGGAAGGAGAGAAATCAACCCCTAGTTAGTAGCACTGGCGACACATCTAGACTGTCTACCATTCTGTTTCTGTGGGACATGAGCTTCAGTGTCGAAAGGCGCTAAATAGCTTAAAGTCTCTGGAACTCGAAAGCTGGAAGTCTCTGGGAGTCGAGAGCTCAAACTCTCTGGAAGTGGAGACGTACTCTATATATATATATATATACATTACAGTAGCACTACCGTGCTGGCTTAGCACTAAGCAGCAGCTGTATCCCAGTCCAGACTTAGCTGTGCCTGCTGCTTGGGATGCTTAGCACATAGACTAAAAACTTTCAGGGATTCTGGCGGTAATCACGGTCCCATACGTGCAAGGACGTCCTACTCGAGTACTATTATCGTGCCCCGTCATTTGCCGAGGTCGGTTGAAGTGGCATTTCCCTGGGGAATGTAAATATGCAGGAGCACTGTACTCCCAACCGAGAGAAAAATCGGGTTGTTCAGCATTCGCCGGTAAAAGGCGGAAACATGCAACCTGTTCCTGCTCGGCGCGCTTTATATCGGGCAGGCCTAAAAAAGCTAAGCTGCTCTCGTTACCTGCCTGCTGCGACAGTGGTGTGAACTTGAGGAGTTTGAGCTCAAAACGGTTGTCGCACAGATTGCCGTCCGATCCCACGTTGGCAGTGGAGCAGATGTCAACTACTCCTCGCGTCTGGCGTCGCACAGCTTGTCGTCTTGTCCCACGTTCGACCCTCTCTCTGTGTACTCTGTCTTGGACTGGTGGGCTGGCAAATAGATACGATACTGCTCGGCTATCGTTACGCCACTGCATACCTACCCCCTTTGCTTATCCTCGCGGTTTGGGGTCTGGGCTGGACATTTCGGTCTGTGATTCTGTGGCGTGGAAACACTCTGTGCTGCTCTCTGCCAGCAGCTGGCAGACGATCCAGGCCTCGCAGATATCGGTTCCTGAGTTCTCTTGAGATTTCGGACTGAGACTTTTTTGGTAGCGGCGGTGTTTTGGGGTGCGGGAGAGGAGGAGGGGTGCGGGAGAGGAGTAGGCGTAAACAGAGGGAGAAGCCGTAGGGGACGAAGGAGCGGAGAAAGGAAGGAAGGAAGGAAGGAGGGTGAAAGGGAGAAGAAGGATCCGATTAATGGAAAGGGTGATCAAAGTAGAGGGTGACGACAGGGGAGGTATCAGCAGCAGGCAGAGGGTGCCAGCTGCGGCGGCGATCGCGGCACTACTGGCCAGCCTGAGCACGGATACTGGGGCCGGAGGGGTGGAGGGAGGAGGAGGAGGAGGAGGAGGAGCAGGAGGGGGGGGACKTGGGGGGGGGGGSGGGGGGAAATCGCGGACTTTACGCGGGCAGCGGATTGATTATATGGCGCTGTCGGAAGGAAAGGAGCCTGGGTCGCGTTGGGCAGAGGCGCATACTGGCGCCTCGGGAGGGGAGCGAGGAGGGGACGAACTCCTAGGAGATGACGAATGCAGTAATCGGCGCGGTACGGGGGCGGGAGCGGGAACGGCTGTCCACGTGGCGGCGAGCGAGAGAGAAATGCCCGGCCTTTGTCGCCCATGGAGTGCAACTAGCAGAAGGGCAGGAATGATCACTCGGAGCGGATCGCCTGTCACCGGGACAGCTGGTTCTTGGGCCGCAGGTGCAGCAATTGCAGCATCTGCAGGCGGGGGAGGGGAGGAGGGAGGAGGAACCACTAGGGGCCAAACAGGTGCTTACGAGGTGCAATTGAGAAGGGGCGGGGGAGGAGTGTCGGGTGTGTCAGCGGCAGCAAGCGTGAACACTGATCCCAGAGTCAATGGGTTACGTGGTGGCAGTGGAGGGGGAGGGGGAGGGGGAGGGGGAGGGTTGGGTCCTGGAGTGAAGAAGAAGCGCATGTCTTGCGTGTCCTTGGAAAAGGTTCCGGACGAACACCGGTGCAGAAGAGCAGATGGAAGGAAATGGAGGTGTGGACTGAGGCGCGCGGAGGGATCGAGTTTTTGCGAGAAGCATTGGCAAGAAGCGAAGGCGAAAGCCGAACGGCGCGCAGTGGCCAAGCAGCAAAGGGACAGACTGAATCGTGCGGCTAGTAATCCGCCGCCGAGGAGATCTGAGAACCAGCAAGAGCAGTCGCAACAACAGCAACAGCAGCAGCAGCCGCAGCAGCAGCAGCACAAGGAACAGGAGCACCAACATAGGAGAAGGGAGGAGGAAGGGTGTGAAGGGGGAGGGGGAGGGGGAGGGGAGAGAGGTGTGCACGTGCGTTACCAGGTAGGTCAAAATGGCGGAGGAAGAACTGGGAGCGCGCACGGCGCGAACCATGTGATCGACGTGTCACGCAGTCCCAGCCGGGGCCATGCAGCAGCGAGAAGGCTGGGGCGAGAGGCAGGGGCAAGTGCAACAGGGAACCAGTCAAGTGACGGTGTTAAGGGGTTGGGGACGAGAGCCATCCCCTGTGGAGGATCGCCGGTGGAAGGCCTCCATGAAGGTTTCACTGCGATCGATGACAGCAGTGGCGGGGAAACCAGCAGCGGGGAAGGTGCGGGAGGAGGAAGACGAGACGGCGGAGCTCGCGCAGGTGTTCCATCCCCAGGAGTAGGAGGAGCAAAAGGGGTGGCAGCATCACCATCACCATCACCAACACCAACACCAGCAGCAGCAGCAGGAGGAGGAGGAGGAGGAAGAGGGGTGGGAAACATCTCCACGGCCGTGGATGGCAGCAACAACAATCACACGAGGGCGACCAGCGGCCAGGCGGGCCCCGAAAAGGAAGGAGGGGGCCAGATGCAGACACGGTGTCTCTTCACAGGTGGGCATCCCTCGTGGCGTTGCAAGCAACTTGCTGTTCCGGGAAAGCGGTGCTGTCCTAAGCATTTGCGTAAGGGGGGCAAGCGTATAATGGCACACGTCAACGCAAATGGGATAGGCAGTGGAGGGCGTGGAGGAACGGCGAGTATCGAAGCTCGCAGAGCGCTGAACCCCTCAGGATCGAGAGAAGAACTGCCAACCAGAGCGTCCTCACCTCGTCGTTCGCCCAGCAGCAACCACTGCGAAGAGCTGCTAGCTGAAGGACGGGCTGAAGTAGTAGGAGCAGCTGGAGCGGGAGGGGGAGTAGGTGTGGGGGGAGGAGAAGCCTCGTTCGTTAGTAACCTCGATTGTCGGCTGGCGGGAAACGCACTGTCGCCGGGTGGAACAGGAGCGGCAGCAGCGGAAGCAACGGCAACGACGGCGGGAGCAGCATCAGCGCAAGCACCTGCAATAGGCGGGGAGGAGGCACCGCATATTCTGATTCAGGAAGTGCCAGCGAACGGAGATTGTCTAAGGGCTGGCGAGCGTGTGCCAACTTGCTGTCCAATGCTGCAAGTAAGTACCCTTTGGCTCAGTTTCTCCCTCCGTCTATTCTCCCTCCATCTGTGCTCCCTCTCTCTCTCTGTTCTCCCTCATTCTCCTCCAGTCTAACTCACTATCCCTACCGGCCCTCCCTTCTTTCTGAATGGCACCAGCCCGAGTGAGTGAGTTATCGTCAGAGGAGGGTATCTCCTTGTCCTCTTTCTGCGATCAATCTATGACCCCCGCTCTTTCCCACTTCCCCCCGCGTCTTCTCCCACTTCGCCTCCCTCCCCTACCTTCCGCCTAACAGTCCTAAGCAATACTGCGAACAACAATGGTAGTGACAAAAAAGAGCTCGCCGAGATGGCTTCAGTAGAAACCCACCCTGGGAGGACCGTGAAGGGGTCCGGTAGGGTACCTATTTCCTGTAAGAGATTCCTCTTCTTAGTTCTCTGCATCGCGTGTACACACGCGCACACACACACACACACACAGGCACACATACACACACAGACACAGACACAGACACACACACACACACACGCACACCCACACACGCACACACACGCACACACTCACGCACACACACACTCACGTTCTCAGACTTGCTGCCGTTCTTGTCAGGGGTTTGGACCGACAGTCTGCTAGGATTGCAGGGCTGGTGTCAGTAAAGTCGACCACTTTTCTCTCAGGGGTATTGCTAACTGTGGGCGATGTAATGAGTCCTTATCCATCAGTCAAATGCATCCTGGGCAGACTGTCTGTCCAGGTTCAACCTCCTGATGAAAGTCCGACGAAACAGTTTGGCACTGTCATGCTTTTTTTTTAGCGTATAGCGAATATGACAACACACGCACAAAATACGTTTTCCTTGCGCTGTTTTACTGTTGATTTCCCTGTGACGTTTGTTTATGAGGGTAATTTCTCACTGTGATTATAGCGGATGTATCTGAGCGCAATCACCTCCAGAGTGTCAGAAAAGCCTGTGTGGAGTCAGATTGAGGTAGGAAGTTCGGTACTGCAGAAGACGGGACGAATGAATGAACGAAATTGATTGTTTTTTTTCCGTTTTCTTTTTGGATGGCGATGGTCTTGAGATATCATCGTCGAACTAACCAGCCTCAAGGCAATTCAGAATTTTTATTCATCTTGTTCCCTTGGGATTCGAACACAGGTCTGTATTTCAACAGTTCATTGGTGTACCAACTGAGCGAAGGCTTTTTTTTTTTTTTTTTTTTTTTTTTTTTTTTTTTTTTTTTTTTTTTTTTTAGGAGGCAAATTGAGTATTCGGATGAAATGCTTGCAATAAATAAAAAAAGAAGTAAATGAGGCAGTAACAAAAAATATGCCACCTGCAGCAACGCACTCCCAGCTGCTGTAAAGCCATTCGCAGTCAGTTTTTGAAAGGCTGGAGTGAGGTAGGGAAGGTAATTGACTAGTCAATGATTAATTTCGCTTCTTTTGTGTGAGAAGTATTAAAATTTATCATGGATGTTTTCGAGATCGTGCAAGGACCTCGACTGGGGCGAGGTCCCACTAGCGTAGAGGATTGGGTTAAGCTCCTGAATGTCCTCAATCTGGACGTGTTTTGAGCAGAGATCCCGATTTCCTGCACCTTTCACGAACACGTCTAGATTCAGGCTTTCAATCCAATCCACTTCGCTGGCGGGACCTCCCCCCTTGTCTTTAAAATGTGCCTGGTTCCTCGCCTCTCTTTCTGCTTTTTGAGGGAGGGGGTGCCGGGGGGGGGTACAAATAGTCGATGTTTGGAGAGCAGCCTACTCTCCCCATGGTGACTGGCTGTTTCCTCTCCTTGTCATGGTATCTGTGGTCAACCTTGTTGTGGAATCTGTCGACAACAACCGATGTATAGCCTGCACCGCTTTTCTTTTTCTTAGCGGCAAACCGCCGAGATCACAGCGACACAGCGATCCTGACACTTCACCGCCGGACCCATTCGATCCGTAGGAGCGACGGGCGGTGTGGACAAAGGGCAGGGACGTAATCAGCGCGAGCTGATGACTCACGTTTACTACCGTCTGCACCCGAATAGAACGCCGGTCACTATCTCTACATCTGGATCGAAAGGTGTGCCGAATACAGATATCATGACCGGGCGTTCTATTCCGGTGACGACGGAAGGCATTCCAAGTTCAAGATCGATAATTACAACAATCTATCCCCGTGCACTGCTTTTTTTGCTTGGCTGGTTTCCCGCCTTGTGATGGATGTGGACTCTGTGATCCTAGCGGCGGCTAGAGACTGACTGTCTGGACGAAGCATGGGCTTGGGCCCCAATAAGTGGGTGCCATGGGCCCAATAAGTGGGTGCCATGTCCGTGCTATAAGGAAATACGAATCTTGCTGTAGAACCGACCGCGGTCATGCTAACCTACCGCGAGACATATCACCAACTGGCTCTGATCTCCTGCGTCATGCGGCGCTCTGCAATCGCAATTCGCCTATCGCAATGCAGTGCGCAGGTTGATTGCTTGGTAGGGTACCCTACCGTCTTCCCCGAATAGAACGCACGGTCATTATGGCTTTATTTGGGGCACGGTGACCGTCCGTTTATGGTAGTATGTTGTCGGGTGGGTGTTAGGGATGTGGGTTCCGCTGGATCCGATTCCATGTTCCACCTTTTGTTCCCGAGAAAGAATGTAACTCCAAGTCACCATGAATCTATATGGTAGGCTCTCTACCTGGCCAAATACAGTCATGAATGAATAGGGAGTTATGTTTGGGGGAGTATGGGTTTTTACGGTGAACCTACACAATCTGGCCCTTGGACCAGACGCGGGCGTTTGGAAAACCGACTTTTCTGTTTTTTTTACAAGAGGGGAGGAAACAGACTTTTACTGTGCAGTTGAAGCAAACTTAGGCTTTTCCCACTTCTCTGCGGACGTAATTGTGGTCAGGTACATCCAGGCCGGGTCAGAAAAGAGCTCAGATACATCCCCCGTGAAAGTCCTAGTGTGAGTAGGCCCTTGTTATGATATGTTTAGCGGGGCGATTCGCAATCGCGGCATTTACGAAATACTTCGCCTTGTAACGCACTGCTTGTAATTTCCTGAATGTACCGAACGGCAATTAGCCAGATTCGGTAGAGAAAGTCCTACCGTCTTCACCCGAATAGAACGCGCGGTCATGATATCTGTATTTGGCACATCTTTCGATCCAGATGCAGCGATAATGACCGGGCGTTCTATTCGGGTGAAGACGGTGGTGTGAAGACGCCGTGAGGCGTGTAAATTTGGATAAGGAGTGTGACCGTCGCCTGGGTTCGTCGAGGCTCTGCTCTACCAGCCAGCCAGCTGCCTTGAACTGATCTGGTCGCTTTGCGACGCCACTAAATAGTAATATGTGAATTAGTGTCTCTTCACACCTCTTCCTACCTTCTTCCCCCGAATACAACGCACGGTCATTATAGCTGTATGTAGATACAGCTATAATGACCGTACGTTGTATTCGGGGGAAGAAGGTAGGAATATCTCAATGACTGGAGAACGGTAATAATTCGAACCCTTAACGTATGGTTTTGAATTACATTTTTTTCCCTACCACCATTGGAACTATTCTACAAAAAAAAAAAAAAAAAACACGACTCCTTGGTAATAGGTGAAGTCTATCTGTGTACGTGTTTATATATCTTACATCAATTACAGGGCAAAAGGGGATGGAGTCGCCATTGTTCCACCACCGTTTGAAATATTCTACCCAGGAAGTGGTGTGATTGGTGGCAGTGCTCTGCTTGGATCTTTTCCAACATACGTTTTGAGTGCGAACAAAGCTTGCCGCCTATGCCTTTAGGGCTGGTTGTAGTTTATATATATATATATATATATAAACAGTTTGTCACAGCCCCTCGTTTGTTGTCCTCTTCTCCCTCTCTGCCTACGGTTTACCGGGCAGTTCTATTTGACGATATATATATATTTTTCCCGTTATGGGGGATGGATATCTGGGCTGTATATATGTCAATGCATCTCTACGTGCTGGAACGCACTCGTAAGGTGAGAAAGATGAAACGAGAGAAGTTCGACTTCTCTCGCTATCTCGTCTGTCTGTTGTTTTATTTTCCTCGTCTGGTTCTTCTTCTGTTGACGTCCAAAGTAGTGGTGTTCGGTTTTTCCTTAGAAAAGTGAAGTAAAATTTCCCTCCTGCTCTTGTAACTGCTGCTGAAGATGCAGCCTACGTACCTTTGAATGAGGAGCCATCTGCCTCGCCGGAAATCAGTAATAGCTGATTCATGTAATGTACTTAGCCTCACGGAACGTGATTGAACGTAATTGAGCTTAAATGAACGTAATTGAACGTGATTGGACTCAAATGAATGTGATTGAACGTAATTGAACGTAAGCTAGTCACACAAGATTGGCCACGGTTAGGGTGATAACACGATCATGTCTATAGCTAGCTAATTCTTCTCTTGTGGGGGGTCTCACATTTTGCGTACTGTTATGTTACAATAGCTAATTCTTCTCTTGTGGAGGGTCTCACATTTTGCGTGTACTGCTATGTATGTTACAATTTTGAAGTTTATGCATTTCGGACGGTGTACCCGGTTTCCGGCAGGTGAGGCTCCCCACCAAGAGATTGGAGCTTTAAAATAAATAAATGAAGAAAAATTAAGCGATCATATCTATAGATGGTACAGCTTTAAAATCCATTTCGACGTCCCACTGTTCCCTCCCAACCCTCTGTTGCAAAGAGAACGTAACTTAGTTGCCCGCACCTTTATGCTAGCTGCGCGCACAATCTCACTCACAGAGCGGCGCAGGCACACGTACACCTTAGGCAAAAGCGCACGCACAAAGGCAATAGGCTCTCGCTTAGAGAGCGCTAGTTCCGATCTCTGTACGCTTGTTTTGGGGGGAAGGGAGGGAGGGGGGGAGGGGGGGGAGGTGTTATTTTTACTCTTTTTTTTTTTTTTTTTTTTAGTATGATCCGATGGACCACGGATCAGATGTTGAACTGATTAGAACGGATACTATACTTTATCTTAGCCAAAAGGCCGGGAAAGGTATTATTTTG